ACGTCAAAAGTGTCTCGCCTGGGCTATAGACAAAAAGGACTGGACTGCTTCTGAGTGGTCCTCTGATGAAAGGAAGTTTTCATTTCCTTTAGAAATCAAGGTCCCAGAGTCTGGAGGAAGAGAGGAGAGGCAAAAAATCCACGTTGCTTGAGGTCCAGTGTTTAAACAGTCAGTGATAGTTTGGGGTGCCATGTGTTGGTCCACTGTGTTTTCTGAGGTCCAAGGTCAACACAGCTGTCCAACAGGAGGTTAGAGCACTTCATGCTTCCTGCTGCTGACCAACTTTATGGAGATGCAGATTTTATTTTCCGACAGGACTTGGCACCTGCACACAGTGCCAAAGTTACCAGAATCTGGTTAAGGACCATTGTATCCCTGTTCTTAATTGGCCAGCAAACTCGCCTGACCTTAACCCCATAGAAAATCTATGAGGTATTGTGAAGAGGAAGATGTGATACACCAGATCCAACAACTCAGAAGAGCTGAAGGCCACTATCAGAGCAACCTGGGCTCATAACACCTGAGCAGTGCCACAGACTGATCCACTTCATGTCACGCTGCATTGCTGCAGTAATCCAGACAAAACGAGCCCCAACTAAGTATTGATGCTGTACATGCTCATACTTTTTATGTTCATACTTTTCAGTTGGCCAACATTTCTAAAAATCCTTTTTAAAATTGGTCTTAATATTCTAATTTTCTGATATACTGAATTTGGGGTTTGGTCAGTTATAATAATCAACATAAAATAAACATTTGAAATATATGTCTGTGTAATGAATGAATATAATATACAAGTTCCACTTTTTGAACGGAATTACTGAAATAAAATCAACTTTTTCATGATATTCTTATTTTATGACCAGCACCTGCAAGTCCACACTCTGGGAGTACGGTGAAAGGACAATAATTTGATCCTAACAACATCATGCACCATTGAATCCACTGACATTTTGTGTTGCAGTGTGGTATTGAAGCTGCAATGCTGCAGACAGGAAGAACTTGCAGCAAGTCATTATAACAGCTCAGTGAATCAGATCTATTCTTCGCAGGTTAGAAGACACCCATTCAACCAGTTTACAGAGTCGTGCAAAAATCTTGAAGAACCCAACTCACCCAGGACAGTCACTGGTCCGTTGCTGTTTCTCCCATCACGGCCTGCACAAAGACTGAAACATGGCTTTTTCCCCCTCAGGCTGTGGACTGCTTGCAGATGCTTTATGGCACCTCTCTCTGATTTTAGTACATTTTGAATCTTACAATCCTAAATTCTTATCTTAAATTGTGTACATTAAATATTTTTATTATTACGATTTTAAAATGTAAATTGGGATATTTTAGTGATTTTGTTGTTGTTTTTTATAATAGACGTTGCTGCAATTAAAATAATACTAATCTTTTTTTTTTTCAGTGCAATGAAAATAAGATTATCTAAAAGTGAATACATGTAGTTACATTATCTAAATAAAGAAACAAGGGCACCACTGTTCTTTTAGTCTTTAACCAGATGTTGACGGACTTCTTTCCTGCTCAAGTCAGTTTATTGATTGCAAAAATGCGTATAATTTACAAAAATCACACTGGCTTTATAATACATTAAATATCAAAATGCTTTTTAAAAAGTAGGTAGTGAAATCATTGTGTCACAATACTTTTTAATCAGTAAGAAATATACATTATGTATAAAAAACAATTGGCTCATTGATGCAACACCTGTCGTTTGTTGTGGTGCTGGCACATACAGATTATGCCAAGAAGTGATGAGGAAACCAGACTTCTCATCCTTGTGTTGAAAATACAGAAACTTGCCAGATCAACAGCTTTACTAAGCAACCACAAATAAAACATGTCTGAATCTCTCTCTGCTCAATCAGAAATCCATTTCCCCATTCACTCTGCTTAAGACATTGAGCTATATTTGTCATTTTTGAATCCCAATGTATTTTCCACGTTTACAAATCAGAAAATAACGCAAGGGTTTGTAGAAAAATAACTACAGTAAATATTAAGCTTCAAATTCTTTAGAAATGTGTGACATTTTCCTGAAGTAGATAAAACATAACTGAAAGCCAATAACAGCAGATCTAAAACAAGTCGATACAGTATGACATCTTTATCTACAATGCTTCTGAAGAAAACAAATCTAAACACATGTTCCAGTTTCAAGACCAAATGTGTGTTTATACTAGCTTGCGCTCCCATAAGTCAATAATAAAATGGAAAAAGTGCATTTTAATATATCACATAAGGCCCAGTGTAATTAAACTATTGGCTTCTCATTGGCAGATTTATTGAAAGCCAAGTCATTAAGACGCTGACACAAGAGTTCTGTACAAATATCTGACTCCGTCACCACAGCGACTGAAGAAAGTCAAATACAGAAAGAGAAAAAATAAAAACTTAAGAAAAAAAAAAAAGTCTCTTCAAATTTCTTAGCCTGTATTATGGCGTCTGACTCCCACTATCACAGCATTAGTACCAGCAGCAGCTTCTCAGTGGTCCAGGCTGTTCCCCAGTTTTTGTCCCTCATGCAGAGCAGCCATGGCCAGCCTCAGGTGCTCCTTCAGACTCTGAATCTCCCGCTCGGTTCGGCCTTTCATCCCGTTCAGCTCCACGTGCACCTCTGCGTATCGCTCACAGGCCAGCTGTTTTTCCTGCACAGCAACGAGTAAAGATCTTCATCATCCAAACTTATCAGTGAGTCTTCAGGCAAACATGGCGTGACGTCACATGTGCTGCCAAACAAACCTAAACTTTGTGGTTTATAAACTACAGCCTACAAATGATTCTTCTACATCAAATTTCTTTATATCACCTAGCTCAAACTGAAGAAGCACTTAACGGCAGAGAACTTTGGTGGAGTTGGAACATAATTTAGTAATGAAGTACAACTGCCAGGATCAGGACTAACAGTTTGTAAGTTATGGAGGACTACATCTGTACTGGGGGAAAGATTAGATTGGACTGAACTGGGGGAAGAGGTGAATTATTCTACATGCTAATGTGTTTAATTTGCATTTATAAACAGAAAAATAAAATAAAATGTACATACAGCATTTGTAACGAATAAACCAACAGAAACAATACCGCGTTGAGAAATTGTAGCTCGTTCCTCAGACAGCTGATCTCTTTGTGTAAATATTCGATCTCGTTCTCTTTCATTCTGAGGAGAACCTGCAAAACAAAAGCGAATTAAACACAAAAGAAAGAAGTATGTAGAAAATGTGTACATTTATTTCCCCAAACACAATACAGATGCTGGTCATAAAATTAGAATATCGTGAAAAAGTTGGTTTCAGTAATTCCATTCAAAAAATGAAACTTGTATATTATATTCATTCATTACACACAGACTGATATATTTCAAGTGTTTATTTATTTTAATGTTGATGATTATAACTGACATTATATTGAATTTGGGTTTTTCATTAGTTGTTGGTGTACGGAAAAAATGAGACGATGCTTAAAAAGCCTTTCTATGTAATGAGCGAGCAAATAAATAAATAAATAAAATAAAACCTCTATTCCTTGATAGTTATTGAATCCCTGGGAGACTCTTTTTAGAGTTGCTGACCCCATTTAAACCAGTCAGAACCGGGTCATAATTTCATTATGATCCCGTCTCTGAGCAGATCAAAAAACCCAGGGTCAGTCTAGATAAAAATACTTACACTAGTGTTTTGAGTTAATTAGCTGATTAGAGTGTGGCACCAGGGACGTAGACCGACCGGTAAACAGAGAGCTTTACCTTACAGATTAGCTCTCTCTTCACCACAACAGACCGGCAAAGAGTCCGCAATACTGCCGACGGTGCACCATCTGTCAATCTCACGCTCCATTCTTCCCTCACTCATTAATGCAAAACCCAGATACTTGAACTCCTCGATTTGAGGCAGAACCTCACCCTCAACCTGAAGAGAGCCATCCACCCTTTTCCGACTGAGGACCATGGCCTCAGATTTGGAGGTGCTGATTTTCAACCCAGCCGCTTCACACTCAGCTGCGAATTGCTCCAGTGAGAGCTGGAGATGACCTCAGCAGAAGTAAGGAGTACCTTCAGGAGGATTAATCCTCACAAAGCGACCGGCCCAGACAACATCCCGGGGACGTGCTGAAAGAATGTGCTGATCAGCTCTGTGAGGTGCTGGCAGACATCTTTAACTCCTCACTCACCCTGGCAACAGTTCCCACCTGCCTGAAGACCGCCACCATCATCCCAGTCCCAAAGAGCTCTACAGTGACTGGTCTGACTATTGACCAGTAGTCCAAGTCACCCCGATAGTCGCTAAATGCTTTGAAAAACTGGTTATGACCCACATCAAAACAACCATCAACAAGGACCCTCACCAGTATGCATACCACAAGAACCGAACAGAAGATGCCATCTCCTCTGTGGTCCACACTGCTCTCACCCACCTGGAGCAGAAAACCTCTTACGTCCGTTTGCTCTTTGTGAACTTCACATCTGCTTTCAACACCATGATCCCCCGAACCCTGATGGACAAATTACTCACACTAGGACTAAGCCCCTCCATTTGCAACTGGGTACTATACTTCTTAACAAACAGACCACAGTCAGTGAGGATCCACAACATCTCCTCCTCCATCACAACCCTCAGCACTGGCTCCCCTCAGGGATGTGTGCTGAGCCCCCTCCTGTTCACTCTGCTCACGTATGACTGTGCACCTACACATCCAGGCTGTCACATTGTAAAGTTTGCAGATGATACAGTGGTGGTGGGATGCATCACAAACAACGATGAGTCCAGCTACAGGCAGGAGGTGGAACACCTGGAGAGCTGGTGCAGAGAGAATAACCTTCACATCAATGTGAAGAAGACAAAGGAGATGGTCGTGGACTTCAGAAGGAACAAAGACACACACACACCCCACCACCAGAACATAGGAGGATCTGAAAAAGCCCAGAGACTCTACTTCCTCAGGCGGCTGAGATGAGCTGGTCTGGGAAGCTCAGTCCTCACCTCTTTCTGCA